TTGAGCATTGCTCTTCAGAAAAGAGACAGCAACAGGAATAAGCGCAAAGAGCTCGGTTATCCTTAGCAGGGCTCCAGAAAAGGAGATCTATAAAGGCTGAAAGAACTGGAACTTAGAATTGCCCAGGTTGGAATGGACCTTTAAGATCATCTAGTCCAACTTTGATAAAAACCATCACTAAACCATGTCTCTAAGCACTATGACAACCCGTCTTTTAAATCCCTCCAGGGATGGTGCCTCAACCACTTCCCTGGGCAGCCCATTCCAAGGCTTAATAACCCTTTCCATGTAAAAATGTTTCCTAATATCCCATCTGAACCTCCCCTGGCACAACTTGAGGCCGTTTTCTTTTGTCCCATGGACTGTTCCTTGGGAGAGGAGACCGACACTCCTCCCCAGCCCTGGCTACCTCCTCCTTTCAGGGAGTTGTAGAGAGTGAGAAGGTCTCCCTCAGCCTCCTTTTCTCCAGGCTGAACAACTGCTCCTCACAAGACTTGGGCTTCAGACCCCAAACCAGCTCCGCTGCCCTAAACTTTAGTTTACACAAAGTACGATCACTATGAGACAACAATATAACATACATCAAAGGACTTCTGAAAGAAGGAATTACCTGTCTTCTGTCTTTCTTAAGTATCTGAAAAAGTAAAAGGATTAAACTTCAGGAAGATTTAGTTTAGTGATTAAGGGAGGAAAAAAAAACTTTAAAAATAAATATGCCCTAGTGTAGGTTACGCAGGGGATTTTTTTTCTGGTCCACTGAACACCAGTGCTACGTGGGGAAGAAAAACTTACTCTGTCAAACGTTTGTCTCAAGATGTTCTAAACTAAATAGAAAACGATTTTCTAGTGGTCCCTCTTTGGATCTCACCTGGCAGGGAGGTGGCAGACTGGGCAGCTTGTGACAGCTTTTGCTTATGCTATGGAAGTGTGGGATATAAAAACTTCAATGGCTTCCTGACCTCACCACAAGCTACGCGTAGTCTGATTTCCCAAACTGTCATACTATAAAAACTTCAATGGCTTCCTGACCTCACACACAAGCTGTGCGTAGTCTGATTTCCCAAACTGTCATATTAGAATAGAGAAATATTAAAAATAGAACTTATCAATCAGAAATGGTGGTTATTCTAATAAGGAGCGAAATTGGCTGATGCTGCTTTGAGGAAATGGCTCATGAATTACAGAAAGTCAATAAATAAATAAAAGCCAATCAGTGGGTTTGTTTGTGCAGCCGTGGTGGAACTATTTACACAATATAGAAGATAGTATGATCGCACATTCAGGTCTGTTGACTGAGAAGAGCTTGCAGTAGGTAAACAAAAATAGTTTTCTTCATACCTTATGAAGCAGAGATACCCTTTTTGCATTTATTTTAAAATAATATTGCTGAAAAGAAAAAACATTGCAAAAAAACCCTCAGTTGCACATACCCAGGACCTATCAGTCTCTGGTACCCTGTTCTGAACCCCTCCTGCCTTCTCCAAGAAAAAAGATGAGCCCAAGCAAGATTAAAAGTGTATCATTTCTAGCGGGGCTTAGTCCTCCCTTTCAGTTCCTTGATATAATTTCTGTGGTTTTTTTTTAATTGGACATTCCTGTTAAATAAGTGGAATTGCTTTACATACGCATCCGCTCTTTTCTCAAAGAGCTCTTTATTCACAAGCACAAACACTGCAAGAGGGTGAAAATGTGATTTACACCACTACTTGTGGAGTAAAGCATGGCTTTTATCTGCTTGTCTTAAATTAAAAGAGAGCCAGCAGGTAATGGATACATATATTATAGCAGAAGCAGGTCTTTAAGGGAGATTTGAATGAATGGATCTCATTAAGAGAAAATAACCCACAGGAGGGGATACCATGCAAGCCTTAAACAGCTGTGGAAGTGAGGAAGTGGTAAATAAAGAGTAGCTGCATTTCAAGCTGCTGGGTGAGAAAAGGTATATACAAACAGACAGAGGGAGAGACAATTGACTGTCAGGTAGTATAAGAATTTAAACCTGGGTGTGTGGAAAGGGGAGTGGTGCCAAGTGGTTTGGGCTGTGGGTGAAATTGGTCATAACTCAAGGAACTCTCATTGGTAGCAAAGAAACGTGAGGGTAGAAAATTCTCTCTATTTTATTGAGTTTTCTTTTTATTAGAGGCACAAACCTCTATAGTAATTCTTTTTTGTCCTGTTATTCCCATTAGAAAATTGTTCCAGAAATAAGTCTTCTATTGGCCAAGACTCAGATTTTAATAACAGGCCTAAATGTTTCTGTGGCAGGGTTATAACCATCCAACTTACTGCCAGAATTGTCCTTTACTTTAAATACTTCCCAATTCCTTGTCCTTTGGGTTTTCTCCCCAACTGCTCAACCTCCCCACACCCGTTTATAACCATTCGACTTACTGCCAGAATTGTCCTTTGCTTTAAATACTTCCCAATTCCTTCTCCTTTGGGTTTACTCCCCAACTGCTCAACCTCCCCACACCTGATTTGTTCTAAAGTTTTGTATGTTGTAGAAATCAGATATTATCACACCTTATATTTTTTTTTTAACTCTTACTGTACTACTACTTAACAGATTTGGTTAAAATACCAGTGCCTGGGTCATGCAATTTCATGTGATATTTTTTCATAACTGTTTTTTCATATATTAAACTCTTTCAGTGTTAGAATGGCTAGAGTAATTTTAGTTTCCTTGCCCCTTTGTTATTCCTCCTGCTCCTGTTGCTATGGTCAACATTGTTATCTTTACGGCAAACCAAGGAGATTCTGTATCTAACACGGGGTTATAGCAAATCCGCCCCTTTGTTATTCCTCCTGCTCCTGTTGCCAACGCTCAACATTGTTATCTTTATGGCAAACCGAGGAGATTCTGTATCTAACGTGGGGTTATAGCAAATCTGTAATCTCTATTTTTGTTGTTTGTTTTAAGGGGGGGGTTATCTCTAATCTGTAACTTAATCTCTGGTTTTGCCATTTGTTTTAGTATTTTTTCCAGGTCTCCTTTTCGTGCCATATCTTTAATGACACCTGGCATGGACCACAGTTGGAGACAAGGTGCTCTGGGTGCATATTGTTCTGTGAGCCTGATCCACGCTGGAAATCTGTGTATGCAACTGGGCTCACAGCTATCTGTTAGAAAAAAGAACAAACCTTGAAAAAAAGTGGCATTTTTAATCTTAGTAACTGGACTTCTAACTTCCACGTGGAGGTAGCTTCTAAGCTACATATGGTATAGCTTTTTGGAGAAGTACAGATCGGTACAGTGTATTTGTTGTCCATTTAGAACCTATTTGTATAGCCTGGGGATGTTGTTTCCTTTTCCAACTTCAGACATGGTCTTCACGAATTTAATACTTGAAAACCTCATTCAGCAATTCAAGGTCAGGATTTACATTTATTTCACTGTCATTTTCTTTTGTATGGCTGAGGATTTTTAAGTTAAACAAAATCTTTCTGAAAGCAATTAATGTATATTTGGTATTAAAACATCATTAGCCATAGCAGAGTAGCATAGTAAAAAAGAGATGAAAAGAGTCTCTCTGCATCCAGATTGTTCACAAAATAATGGGAAATAATTATCTGTGTTTCAATTGAATAGCTCATAACTGAGTTACAAACCTAGTGCTTTTTTTTTTGTTAATGAAAACACATTATCTTTGACAATTTTATGATGCAGAAATGAGTTCCAGTTGGAAATATAGGCATTCTGAGGAAATAGCTCTAATGTTTAATATCATAATTCTAAAAAGAAAATAAATTATGTAGATTTTTTTTATTTTCTCTGCTACTAATATTAGCATTTTCACAACTTCAAAGAATGGGATTTTCATAACCAAATTTTATAATAATTTTCTAGCACATAATTCAACAAATTACCACAACCAAATTGCACAGCACTGCTTAATGTACCTTTTTAAAGAAATATATCTGAATCAGTTTTTTTAAAACACTAATCTTTGTCCTTCTACTGACGAGTAGGCACGGTTGTGTTATGATTAGTAATTCACAATGTTTATGTTTATGGTTTTGTAACAATTCAGAGATCCTTGGGAAATATAATGAATTGGCTTAATAGCCAGAAAGCATTCCCTATACTTCTGGTTTATGTCACCTTTTACTTTAACAATTGGATATTTTGTACGGCTTCCACTGTTAAAACCACTAACTGGAATATTTAAACTGAACGTTAATTAAATTCTTAACCAATGCTTCTGTGGATCCAGACAGCTCCAATTGTTCCCTGAAGGTTCTCTATTTAGGTAAAACAGTCCCACTCTGCCAAAAAAAAAAAGAAAAAAAGAAGGTAAGAACTGTCATTAAATTTCTTTCTATTATTCTAATAATAATGTGTTAGGCTATTAGAAGTGGAAAACTTTGATTATTCTCTGTCAGTTTTCCCTGAACTCACCCTGGACAAACTCCCTCAAGGCCCACCACGCCAGGCAGCCGAGTCAGGATGGCCGGGCAGGGAAACCCAAGGTTTAAGGTGCAGGGATGTGTGGAAACTTTTTTGTAAAAACACTTTTATTCGTATGGACTTTACAGAAGAGAGAAGTGATGCCGTGTGACTTAACTTACTCCTCGGGGCGAAGTGCTGACAGCTAAACCCCCCGGCACCCGTGCTGGTGGGATGTGAGGAGCTTAACACGTGTCCCACCTCACCGGCTGCCACCTTTTTGACGGCTTAAACTTTTATTTTCTTCAGCGATGTGCTATTTGTATGAAATTAAATTAAAATACGCAGAGGGGGACGCTACCCCGCGCTGTGTGGGGGCTCCCGCCGCGCTCAGAGGGGGGACCTACCCCCCCCCCCGCCATTTTGTGTGTGAGGGGAACCGCGAGGGGGGACCGATGAGGGGGAAGCGGCTCCTCCCCGCTACCGGCCGGCCCTGAGGGGGGACGGGCAGGGCGGGCCGCGCCGCCCCGGCCAGCGGGAGGACGAGGCGGGGCTGCTGAGGGGAACGGGCGGCGGAGGAGGGAACCCTCCTCCTCGTCCACCTCCCCGGCCGGGCCGTTCCAGCCGGCGAAGGCGCCCGTCGGAGCAGGGAGAAATGCCCGCTGCGGCGTGACTTCGGCTGCCGGTGAAGACTCCGGGAATGAAGCGGAGTAGGTGGGTGAATTTACTTTTTTTTCGCTCGTTTCTCTAATTTGCGGCTTTCTCCGAGTGACAGCCGTGGGGCTGGGGGTCCTGTCCGCTTCCCTCCCTTCCTCCCTCCCGGCTTGACGGGACTCTTCCTCTCACCCGTGGGGGTCGGCTCCCTCCATCCTGAAAGTGGGGAAAAAGGGGCAGCTTGAGGTAAAAACCGGCTGGTTTTTGCCGAAATCCCCGTTAAAAGCAGAACGGAGCTCGTGGCTGAGCGTGGTGTGTCCCCTCGCAGATCGGCTCTCCAAAGAACAACTTTGGAGGTTGGCATAGTGTACCCAAATCAAACCTTTTTGATTTTTGTTTTCTCTTGAAGCTTAGTGTCTGAAGCAAAAGAGAAGAAGAGATCTTCTCCGATGTGGGTTGTGAGTCACTGATGCTGCAGAAGCCATTATAGTCCGTTCTGACAGAAGAGCACTTTGGAAATCTGATGTTAATTATTGACACAGCATTTATAAATAGACTTTATAATGAAAACACTCAGGGCCCCTTAACTACCAAGTGTGGCTATGATACAAAGGAGCTTTAAGTGCCAGGTAACTGCAGGAGCTTCGCTTATAGTTGCGTGTAAGGAAAAACCAATAGATGGTCATCAGTTAAAAGCACTGAGAGAAAAGTGTGTATTAAAAATGCTTTTCTTTATTGCTGACGTAAGAGCAGGAATATCTCTGATTCTTCAGTCTCAAATAGCGCGTCGTGAGGGTGCACAAACTTCAGTGCTGTGGTATTGGAGATGCAGGAGCAGATGTGACCGCTGTCCTGCTGGATCCCTGCCTTCCCTCTGGTGAACCTGTGGATGTTCACGAAATGAGGGGGTTGTTGCACTACAATCAAGAAGATTTGTACGTTTGTTGGAAGCTTTGGGACGTTTTTTTGTTGAGTTTCAGCAGAGAGGCTCCCTCCGCAGACTTGGAGCCTGGTTTTGTAGCTGTGCTACAAGGGGAGCTCTGGTTTTACTGCACCTGGTGTGTGGGGGCACATACAACTTGGGTTGCCTTGGTTAAAGCTTTAGTATTAGGAAGCAAAATTATTCAATGCAAGCCATATTCATTGCTATTTTGTATGTTCCATTTACTCTGAGCTCTTTATTAATCATAGGATGGTTTGGGTTGGAAGGAACCTTAAAGATCATCAAGTTCCAACCCTCTGCCCTGGGCAGGGACGCCTCCCACTGGACCAGGTTGCTCAAAGCCCAATCCAGCCTGTTTAATAATGTTTACTAATATACTAAATGACAAACAAATGCAATGAAATTCCATGTCCAGGAGGGCTAACCAAGAACCACTGGTCTTGCCAAAACCAACAGGACTGGAAAGCCCTCAGCACCCTTAAAGAGCAGGCCAGAAGGCGCTGTGCGTAGGCATTATTACTGAAATATTTGTATGCTTTATAGAGATCTTTTAAATATTTAAAAACAGCTGTAGCAGAGTGCTTGCAAAAGTCGGGGACAGTTTGTGTGCTTGCAGTATAATGTTTCTGTTTCCTATTAACTAGCAGCTGTTGTTGTTTTTTTGGGAGGAAAATTAAAAAAAAGAGCTCCAGACCCTGTATGTGTGTGTACATTACTTGAGGAAAAATAAGAGATTCTGGCAGCTGAGTTTCTATAAATTTCTGTAGGCTTTGAAATTGCTCATTGGAAACCGCTAATATGTAAAGCTCTCATCTTGCAACATTTGCTCATCTAGTCTCTTTCTCCCTGTAAAGAGAATTTTGCAGCTGAGTTTAGTGGTGTTGAGGGTTGTGCTGCTCTGCTGTGCCCAGGACGGGTCGTGGAGACTTGGCACTCTTGGTCACCAGTGCCACCCTCTGTTCACTGGTGTTCAAACTGGACAGGTAGACCTGCCTCACTGCAGTCCTCTTTTCAACCCTCTTTTTATGTTTCAGGAAGGAGACGTGCAGAAATGTAAGTTGTCAAAGACAAGACACTGGGGTAAAAAGCAACAAAAAAGAGGCAGCTCCTGAAGGAAAAGGAGAACTTTGAGTACATTTTCGGTGCCCAGTGAGCAGGTGTTTGTGGGTCAGCTGTGCTTGTTCCAGGCTGTGCTGAAAACGTTTCCCGTGCTGATGTGCCAATGGATAGTATGATTTCTCATCCATCCTGTAAAGAAAAATGATCTTACGTTCATTCTTGTCCTTCTTGCTTGTCTTATCTGCTGTATTTTGTTTTTAATCAGATGTTTCTGTCAAGGCAGGGACTCTAGTTGAAGTTTTTTGTACAGTGGTTAGCATGGAGAGGAACATACTATTTACAAATGGAATTGGAAAATTTATTGTATGCAGCAGGAGCAAAGCTGGTGGTTTCAGAATGCAGTATCTTGAGACAGATGTGTTAAAATGGGCCCTGATTCCTTCCGTTTGTATAGATACCTCCCAGCCATACATAAAGCCATTTGTCCATGCAGTGTTAACTTACTCTTTCTGGAATGGAATTATAGTTAGAAATTTTAATAATTGTCTTTTATTTAACTTCCCATTCCCTGTAACTGTTCTTGTAAAACTTGTATTCTTTCTTATAATGAAGTTAGGAATTCTGGTAAGTTCAGTATTCTCCCTAGAAAATATACTGGGTAGTCGTGTCTCGTCCAGTAGCACATTCACCTTGTCCTGGGAGTTCTCTGTAGATACCTCTTTTTACCCAATTCCTGTATAAAGTTTACATGAGCAACACTGACCTTTGAACAGGAGAGGAGTGAATGCTGGTGACATGTTGCTCACAATGCTTTTTGATTGTCTACAGCACTATTTTTTGTTCATGAATATTGTTGGAACCAGGATTGAAAAATAACACCTTTGTGAAAAGCAGCCGAGATGGATGCAATAGAAGTAGGAGGAGAAGATATCTCGAGCTGGACTGAACTGTATTTTTACCTTCTGGTCCAAATATTGTTAATTATGATTCAATTAGTGCTGATATCAGAATCTCTGTGATTGCTCTATTATGGCAGCAGGAAGTGAAAAATGCCTTTCTTCAGTAGACTACATAATTATAACTTTCCTTCCTTGAGGTGTGTGTTTTTCTGGGGCTCTGTGGCTGCTTTCTTTTGAGGCTACAGTAGGTATTGCAGGGTGAAACTAACACAGCAGCTGCTATTAACACAATTAACCATTTGCTGCCTTACTCCCAGGAACAAATGAGGGCTGGTGTCTCATCTTCTGCTTTGAACATACAATGAAATATGTGTAATTACTGAAATAGTGGTTCTTTCCTTCAAACATATAGAAGCTATAGGGCTCAGATATCTGGGTAACAGCCTTTGCTTCTTGCATTGCCTTTGATGGGAGAGCAAGTGATGGACTTTATGGCTTATTTAGAGCTCTTGATGGGGGATATTTTTCACCTGTTTTGAAAGTCAGAGCTTTAAAGCATTTGCTGTAACATCCATGACATACTGATGACTTTATAAGCCTTTGAAATATGTGTCTGATTGTCTTGTACAACATATGGAAGTGATTCTGACAGTTTCTTGCTGAGCTATAACGTTTTTGTTGCACCTGTAAAAGAGGAACATGGACTGTTTTTCATACATTTAATAGCATGAAAAGCGTATGCTTATGTCAAGTACATTATCTTAAAAGATTTCTTTTTCTTCAGTTAGAAAGTTGGGAAAAAAAAATAGATAACTTTGATCATAGGCTTTTGGAAATAATCCTGGGCTGTATCTTTGTGAAACGACAGACTTAATAGAAGGTTGTAGCAAGATAATGCCTCTGGCCTTCATGGCTCACCTATTAGGAAATAGACTAATGGAAGAGGTGCAGGTAAGGTTGGCCTCCTAAAAGCTGTGCTGAGAGGCAAATTTTCCTCTGAAATAGGGGTTGTGAAGCACTGCTTTTGAAATTTTGAGCTTTCCTCTTTAATTGCTCAAAATGTAGTTTAAAATGTACTCTGATTGTAACCTGGGTGAATGGGGAGAAGAACGGATGGGACTGACTCATCTTGCAGGCTGAAATGAAGATGGTCTGTGCTGAAGAAGTGGCTTGGTTCCGGTTCCAGCCACAGCTAAATTTGCAAGTGCTTTCCTTGTGGGTGAGTGTGCAGGGGGACAAGAATACTGAAATATTTTACTTTCACTGGGGAAGTGTCTGCTGCTTCAGGTAGACCGCTATGGCTACTGAATCACCTCAGCTTCACGGTCACTGGGTGATCTTATCAAGGTCTCTGTTGAGGGAGAGGAGGGATAGCTCTGAGCAGAGGGTGGCTTTCCTTATTGTAACCAAATCCTTTTGTTTCTTTAGCAGCTGCTGGTTCCTGTGTGGGGCTGACCTTCTGCTCTGCGCTGGCTTGTTGAGGCGCTGCCCTGGGTGAGACGACAGGGATGTACTCACACTGTGTTTTGAGAAGAGGGAAAAACCTGGAAGGAATCGCCCTTTTTCTCTCCTTCTGGTCTTCTGCATCCACACACGCTTTCCTTCCGACTGCGTAGCCAGTACAGAGGCTCTCCCACTGCTGTAATCTGTATGTATCATAAAGTATATCTCTCTATATATAGTACAGTACGTGCACCCCCAAACTGAAAGGCCAGTTTATTAAATAGCGTTGATGCCAGTTCTTTTGGCAGCATGGATGTTCTCAAGGAAATTGTTCTCAGAAATATTGAAGAACACTTAGGAGAACACTCCTTAAATCTTACTTCTTGCCCCAGCATTCTCCATCTGACTTGAGCTGTGCCTTTTACTAAATCACTCAGTTCTGGTTAACTACAGTGGCAACCAAACTCCGTATGTTTTACTCTGATGTCCTCACTGAGCTTTTTTTTAAAGTATAAAAATGCTTATATTTGGGTTTTAACAGAATTTATGTAACTGTGGGATGAAAATAAAAAAGAAGGAAGTACCTGAAATGAAAGAACAGTATTGAAATAGTACTGTAAAATTTAATGAAGTCTTCAGTGCTGAAATGGGTGCCCGAGTGCTTTTGTGTGTCCCGCACTTTGAAAATTGAGTTTATCTCTTGGACATTTTGATGGTTTGGATTTCTAGTGCCTTTCAGATGACCTAACCCAGAAGGTGAACAATGATCAGCAAAAGTCTGGAGAAATTAGGTACTATGTAGCTCTAATAATGAAAGAAGAGCTGTTTTGATATTTAGTTGATATTCTAAGCAATGTTTTTTTTCCTCAAAAGACATTCTTATTTTCTTCTTCCTTTCTGCTTTCAAAATTGTGAGTATCAAATTAACTGAAGTGCACCAAGATGAAACCCTAATGAATTAATAGATTGATAATTATCAGCTCTCAGTTTTCTATGTTTTTCAGATCAGTTCTACAAAGCAAGATGTATTGGCAAATGATTCTGACCACGTTTGTGCTATTGGGTAAGTTACTAAAAAAATAAGTCTGTCAGAAATTATGCAGAATGAAGAGTAAATACCATTTCTGTTTTACAGTGATGTTTTCAAGTCATGCTACTGCATTAGTGTCTTATCACTAGAATAGACAAAGGACCTGGTGTCATATTCAAGGGCAGGTTGGAGGGGCCTTGGAGCAACCTGGTCTGGTGGGAGGTGTCCCTGCCTGGGGGCAGGAACTCGATGATTTTTAAGTTCCCTTCCAACCCAAACCATTCTATGATTCTATAATTGAAATGTGGAAACCCTCAGGGTTGTGCTTATGTGTCTTATCCCAAAAAGCAGTGCAACTGACTTTTAAGATCAGGAAGTATCAGTGGAAAGTGTGTGGTGGGTCAACATGCATTCAAATAAATGCCCTAGTCAAAATTTGATAAGATAGAAGTTCGTGGGCAGTTTGCTTTTGTACCCTAATAGGTCCAAAAGCAGAAGGGAAAACCCCAGTTCCATCAGAACTGCAAAGTTTCGGTGTAGTTCAGTGTAGCCAGGGTGTCACTTCTGAGTCTGAGCTCTGCTTTTTTAGGCAGCTGATGTTCCTGCTTTCATACACTCAGTGCTGATAAGGGGTGCTCCATTAACTGCAAATGTTGGATATAATAAACTGGTTTTCTAGTTGGGAAATTCTAATTGTCTGTGACAATGTTGGTGTATGCAAATACCAGGGAGAGCTGGTGTTTGCCTTTAATTTTTTTGATTAAAATAAGAAGTATCTAAAGGCTTTTGGTGATGATGCTTAGGGAGAAAGCAGATGCTGTAATCCAGTGAAGTTGGTTTCAAAAATTATATCATCTTATATTTTTCACAAAAGATGAATCAATAATTAGATTTCTATATCTTTTCTATATAAATATACATCTTTTTATATATATATCTTTTCTGTATACATATAGATCTTTATCTTTTCTGTATATGTACCTTTATCCACTCAGTATCAACTATTGCGTTGTTGACATTCTTTTAAATACCTTACATAATCTAAACATACTGTGTACCTTTTGATTACAAAACCTGGATGCCTCTGAGAGTTTTCGCTATGCTTCGGAGCAGTTTGTCACCATCTGATGGCCTGTAAGGACTGGAAGTAACTATGGCCATCTCTCAAATAGCCATGGCTGGTATCTTTGTAGCCCCATTAACCCAGACATGAAATAAGCTGCTGATTGGAAACATTCTTAATGCATGCTGCATTTTATTAATGGGCTATAGCAATCCTATGATAAACATTCTGCATTGTAAAGTATTACTATTTTTTAAGCACTTCTGCAGAAGTTGTAAGTGGCTGCACGCATTTTGACTTTATAGGATTTAATTAATCCTGTGAGATTGTCTGGTGGGATATGCGAGGGGGGGGAGTCTGTTTTTCAGAGAAATAGATGCAGGAATCTCTTCCCACCCTGCGGTTTCCTCTGTGACTTGGGCAGGATGTTAGTTATCTGTCCTGCTTCATAGGCAGCCGTGGCACTTAACGTGATTAAAAAAGAACAAATTAGTATTATGAACTAATAGTCTGGTCAACTGAATCCTCCTCGTGCGGGCAGGAGGCATAATGAAGCTGATAGAGCACAAACTCTGTGAAATGAGAGAGGAGGAAAGAGCAGAATCTGTCAGGAATCCCCAGTCCAAATTCTCTGTAACGAGAAAATGAAGCACTGTAACACACTGCATAGTTAAACAGTGGCTGCTTTTAAGGTACCACGCACCTAATTTTCTTAAAAGCTTACATTTTGTGTTTTTATATGATTTAGCTTATGCTTATGTGCTATTAATCAAACAGTGCTAAAGAAATTCTGTTTCTCAAATTTTGGCTATTGCAAGGCGTAGAGCATGAATTAATTTCTATCTAATGAACTGCTTAAAATATTTATGCTTTTACTGAGCAAAAAGCTGAATGCAGACTGCGCAAATGACCCACATGCCTTTCTGTAACTAGAGCTTTAATCTTTGAAATTCGTGCAGTGTTTTACAGTAAGATGTTTCCAAAACCGTCTTTCTCAAAAATCATTGTTAGCGTAATTCAAGCTATGACTTACCAACAAGAGCTAAAAATGTGGCCAGAGCGATTTTATTTTGAAGAATCTAAGTCTGATGGAAAAGATTATTCTTTTCCTACATCTCATTTCCCAGATAATGCCCTGGGGCTGCATAGTTACATCCAGTCGTGTATTCTTGTAAAACTCTTCTTTGGTATTTAACACTTAGAATGTGACTATGTGTTATATTTACAGTGGGATTATTTTTTCTACAGTAATTTAGCCACGTTATAAGAGCTGGATGGGAAACGTCCCAGCACTGCAGGAGGAGATGAGGCTCATGCCTGTGTAGTGCATGGACTTAGGTTTTGGATTCACTGTATTTTGAATTAATATAAGCCAATTTACCCTAAAGAGATGCTTCCATTACAGTCTTGGTCTTGACCTATTTCAAGAGGTCAAGAAAACAGAGTTGGATGTAGTTGCTCAGGGGGAGAAGGCTGGCACCTGTCAGCTTTGACACCAGTTCAGAGGGGACCTTGTTAGTAATTTTGTCTGCAACTCAGAGGAGAACAGTCCCTGGAAATAGTCTGATTTTTCAGTAATGAATGTGTTTCTGTGTAACATCAGCTGCTTCCTTTCCATTGACAAGTAAAACGAACTTTTTTTTTTTTTTTTTCAGATATCTTTGCCTTTATATTTGCAGACTTCCTTCAAACGACAGTTGCCCATTGTATGGTCCATCAGATTCCTCCCAGGAACTTTACATTACCCTGTATGCTGCTAAATGAGACATTTTTGAATCCTTTCTCTGCTGAAGTTGTAGAGAGCTGGTCTGGTTTGAGGAGAGAGCGTGGAACACCTGAAACCAAGCCTCCCTTGCTAATGAATGAAGAAAGTTTCCTGTGTTGCCTTTGGAGTGATAACAACATTGAGTGTTCTTTGTACAGAGCAAGCATGCGAGCAAGGACGTTTATTCCTTCAGAAATAAATATCTCTGCTTCTCAGGAAATAGGTAGGTTTTCCATCTGGGGGCATAAAAAGTAACTTTTAGAAAAAATTATTGTTTTTTTTTGTAGGGTTGGTGGGTTGGGTTGTATTAATGGGTATTCATTTTTATCCAGAGCAGACAACATAGTATGGTAAAATGCTTCATCGCAGAAGTCCGTAGTGGAAGCTGAAGGAAATTGTATAACAAAGTTTCAAGGCGGAAAAAATAAAGTTGTCTGTCTTCCTTGGGGAATTCTGAATAAAATATGTACCAATGCATACGAGGACGTTAGCCCAGATCTTCAAAGGTGTTTAGACACTATGAGAAGTATTTTAAATATTTTTGTGGATATGGGCTTTAAACTCCTTCAGGAAGCAGAGGAGATCTTTTCTGCCTGGATTGTGATGCCTTAATAAATATCTGTACATGGATTAGAGTTGAACTATTTTTTCCTACACTGTTTTTCTCTTCCTTTAAGCCAGTCTGTGAGCAGCATACCGGCCTGTTGGCATACTGCTATCAGCAGCAGGAATCTCACTGACCTCAGTAGAGTAGAATTTCATTTTACAAGAACTGTCCAGTGGAACAAATAAATCTCCGTTAAAGACTGCCACGCTAATTTGTTGCTGTTGTGTATGCAGTACAGCTGCACGTGTGTGCACAACGTCACAGTGCACAGCCACATAGAGCCTGTACCAGTTAACAGCAGCAAAACCTTTCAGCAGCAGCTTAATTTCTTTCTTCCCTTTGTGGCCTTGTCTGGAAAGCTGGGTGAAATATATTCCTTCTGTCATAATGAGAATGCAGCAGTATCAATGAGGTTGTTAACCTTTTCAGTGTTAAGGACAGACACTGGTGCCCAATTCAGCAAGAATTATTTATAAATATTTGCACACTTGTGGTCCGGTCTCACCTTCATGAATGTCTGTTGCTTGTCCTCTCCTTATGAGTGAATTTTATCCTGGATCTTGAGTTGGTTTTAGTTTTTTTTGTTTGTTTGTTTGTTTTAATATAGTTCAGAAATGTTTAATCCCTTTCTTTTGTTCAGATTCAAATTGGAACATTGAATGTTGGATTAAAGGCAAGCTGGACCTGTTGGTTTGTAGCCTGCGGTTTTTGAAGTTGTACTTGAGAGCCGACTTGAAGGTTAATCTTTTCTATGCTGCGTAAGTACACACTGTTAAATTTCTCTCAAGCTGCCTCTCAGGCTTGTAGCACAGCAGTAGCATTAGCTTTGCAAGCAGATGGTATTTTATGTACCTTTGTCTTATCTAAAAGTAATCTTTGGAAATACGGAAAGTTTATCTTTCTTTCTTTGAATGAGAAATGGTTGGAATGGAGGGTGCCCCTCCTCTGTCCTTCCCATGTTTCTTAGAATGCTTTGATGAAACCAGTGTTGACTTGCTCAAATATCTTTGCTGTTACAGTTGCTTAATTTTAAAGCTATGACCTTGATTCTGTCTCTTCTGTGCTTTTGACCAAATTTCCTTAGGAAACAGGCTAAGCATAAAACAGTTGAATTAGCTGAATTTACAGGTGGTGACTTCTACTTAAAAGGCCAGATATCACTGGCCACAAATTATCCCTGTAGTCAGGATAGAAAGCAAGTGTATTAACTATTATTAAATACAGTTGTTTAGTTGACATAATACTTTAAAAGTCAGTGATAGCAGGAAGACTAGGGAAAATGTGTGCCCTCTCCAGAAGGAAAGGGGAGACCAGGTCACCTGGGATATGGAGAAGGCTGAGGTACTCAACAATTGTGTTGCTTCAGTCTTCACTGGCAAGTGCTCTAACCACACCATCCAAGCAGAAGGCAAAGGGAGAATGAGATACTGGTGGCCTCAGAGCTGGAGGCAGGAGGTATCAGAAGGACATGGACCTGTTGGAGCAGGTCCAGAGGAGGCCCCAGAGATGCTGGGAGGGCTGGAGCCCCTCTGCTGGGAGGACAGGCTGAGAGAGTTGGGGGGGTTCAGCCTGGAGAAGAGAAGGCTCAGGGGAGACCTTCCAGCCCCTTCTAGTCCCTAAAGAAGGGGGGCTCCAGGAAAGCTGGGGAGGGACTCTGGATGAGGGAGGGGAGCCCTAGGAGGAGGGGGAAGGGTTGGACCCTGAAAGAGGGGAGATGGAGCTGAGATGTGGGGAAGAACTTGTTTGGTGGGAGGGTGGTGAGAGCCTGGCCCAGGTTGGCCAGAGAAGCTGTGGCTGCCCCATCCCTGGAGGGGTTCAAGGGCAGGTTGGAGGGGGCTTGGAGCAACCTGGGCTGGTGGGAGGTGTCCCTGCCCAGGGCAGGGGGGAACTGGATGATCTTTAAGGTTCCTTCCAACTCTAACGATTCTGTGATTAAAGCTGAAATCAGATTTTGAGTGGGTTCCCATTTCCAGTGTTCCTCATTACTTTAATTTCTGAAATACCATTATATATGTGTTAGTGGAAGAATTAGATCTGACTTTGTCTCTGTTTTGTCCAGTCTCAAATGCAATAGCAAAATCTTTGCCAGTAATCCTAGTGCAGTAATCTCTGTATTGAATTTTTTTTTGCTACGCCTAACATCCATGGAACAACAGATTTGAGTCCCAGCTGGGATGAAGAGGTTCTTTGTATTTTGAAGGGAATTCAGTAAGTGTCATGCAGGCCCCATAGCCTCACTAGAATCCTCGTGGTATTTCTGTATTGAACTACTTTTTTCTGCAAAGGCGAGATGCAGTGCAGTCCCTGACTTTGGAAAACTTGTTTCATTCCCCAGATTTCATATTAATCATTTTCTTTTCGGGTCCCTGTGTTCTGGGGGAACAGCTAGCAAAGCATTTCAAATTCTGGTAAGGTGACAGCTTTCCTGGTTGGCTTGCTGATACCTTAACATTTTATTCACATGAGCCAAAATACCTTGACAACATTCCCAGTTTTAAAAATATGCATTCCTGGCATGTGTTACTCCCAGGGAGTCTGGAGACGAAGCCAGAGTTCTCACATATAGGACAGGCAATGTACAAAAATAATGACATAGAAGAATCTACAACAAAAAAGCCTGGGTCCTCAACAGCTTTGAATTTTTTTCAGCATTAAAGAAGGATCCTCTTCTTTTACACATCCACAGTTTTCCTGCTTGTAAATGATATCAAGTTACTTTGAATAGAAAATGTTTTGTTTTTTCCAAAACAGTGCTATGACAGGAGGGTTCTCTAAGAGGCTCGAGCAAGAGCGATGATGGAGCTTTTACCTTCCCTACCAGCACGTCTTTGGGAGGAGGAGGAGTATTCTGAAACTTAATTAGACAAATTAGGTTAATTGTCTACCAAAAGTGAATGATCTTTCCAGTTGTATGTATTCTAGGAATGCTGTATACCCTGATGCTTAATTACATTAACTGAAATCACTTAGCCTTAGGGATCCTGTTGTAGTGACACAGATGAATGCTCCCAGTTTAATTTTGAGCACCGATGATGATTTGCCCTTTCAGCAGATGGTGATGTATAGGCTGTACTCATATTTCTGACCTATTTGAAGCACCTGTGAGGCTTTCCTTTAGCTCTGGGCTAAGGCTGCTGTGTTTTTAAGGATAAATCATGCACTTTGCCTCAGGACCGGTGGCTCGGTTGAGTGCATCAGTTATCCATTGAGCCTTCTTCAGCTGGAGACCATTAACCTGTCATTGGAGACTTACCCTCTCCTGAGCTGGGCAGCCATCAGATGTTCTGCAGTTTAATGGGGCAATTTATTCAAATAAGCATTGTCTTACAGCTGCTATATATCAGATACACTGAGATATAATTATTGAAAAGCCTTAGAACCCCAGAGAGCTTTGCTCCATCAGTTCTTAATGAAGGTAGTGCTTGCACACACACAGTATAAAGAAATACTGCAACCAGAGTTACAATGGTGACCTTATTTCTGACATGCCCCATAGCTACCTAAATGTTATGTTGTACCTTTCCTGAAGTTAATGTATTTCTTCCTAAAACAACTTTGACGTTTTGGGTTAGGTGTTCCAATTGCAAGAAATTGATTCACATTCAGTAAAGACATTCTACAGTGTCTAATTTAAAGTCTCAAATTTCACCACAGGGCCACAGGTTAATTTAGCACGAGTAACAACACTTTCTGAAGTATAGTTGAATTGTGCACCAAAACACAAAACATTTAGGAGGCGTGAAGGTGTTGACTAGAAGAACGATCTGTGCACAACTGAAAAGTGCAGTGTTTGGAATGGAAAAGAAAAGTAAGCTTGGACACATGCCCTTGTTGCAATGTTAATTACTTCTGTGGTTCAGGGCATGCAGTATTTATTTTCTTTTCCCTCTTCTGCAGTGTCTTATGCTTTAGTCCAGTGTTTCCAGCTTGAAGTCCCATTGTCTTTGTGCATTGTCCCTCCCTTCTCTGCCAACTGATAAAACTGAAGTCCAGTTCACTGGTTTTCTGTTGAATATCAGAGGTGGGCTCCAGTAATCTGCTCACAGAACTTCATCTGCTTTGTACCGATCTCCTCTTTGCCTTCCTCACTCTGCCAAGACAAATCTCTCCCTTTCCAGCAGCCAGCACTATAAAACCAAATGAGGACATAGTATATATTTTATAAGCCCTCTTTCTTTCCTTCCCCCCACCACAGTTTGGATCTGGCTTAGGTCTGATCAGTGTTGCCTGATGTAAAGTGCTTGTTGAGCCATGATTTATAGCTTCTGTCTAATATTTTTTAATAGCCCCTTGCTTTGTTTTAACTTTACCCAAAATTTCTCTCTCATTCTGCTGAACGAAGGCACTGACCTCTGTTGGAACTTGTGAGGGATTTATAAGCATAAGCTCCTGTGAAGTCAGTATCTCCAGTTCAGGAACTGGTTATTCTGTGACTGGATCCATGTGCAGCCAAACTGAAGACGACAGGCTGCTCGTGTAATCCCAGGCTGCCACATTCTCCAAAATACTTTGACTTTGTGTTGTTTTTCTTGTAATCGGGTCTCATACCTTTAGCCCAGGCTTGGTAATTTGGAGTAAGTTGATGTGGGGCCCTCTCATGATCATGTCCTCCATCAATGTATTCTCTTATCCCAAATTCAGTCCCATGCCTGCTTAATCCCAAATAAGTGGCCTTTGAACACAATACTGGCACAACACAACATGGGGAGGAGCTCTCTAGCATCTTTTCCCCCTGTACACGTGTCTCTTCTGGGTGCAAATAAGCTTAGTTTGATGGTTAAAAATGGAAAAAGTTATCAGGAATGATTAGGAGAAAGATGGAGGAGGGTGGTTACAGCTTTCCAGATAGATCAAAGACATGGTTTGATGAAAAGACTGCATTCTTATGGACCGATTGTGGGGTTTTGGAGGCTAATAAAATCTGTGAGCAACAATAGAAGGCCGAAAAACTTAAAAGAAAATTCTACAAAGTCTTTGAAAGGAAATTCAGGAAAAGGAGGGGAGCCACAACTATAAAATCAAAAATATTCCAAGTAATTTAAAAGCTGTATCCTGTGTGCTGATGCCAGATACCATTAGCATAATGTTCCATAATTCTTGTGTCCTAAAGACTGTGAGTCCTGGTAAAAATTATTTCAGGAATGTCAGTATTGCCTGACTCTAGCACTACTAAATGTAAACTACATATTGATACGTAACTGCATAGCTTATGGGGTCATTATTGCAGAGTGCAGCTGCTGTGAGGACATGGTATTGAAAATCCTTGCGTTACCAGCTTCTAAGTGTATCCTAAAAACAGGGTGGATGCATAATAAGTGTATGTTGATGAGGGAGGAGATCTATGTGTGTGTACATAGTGGGTTCCCTGGCAGTTCCAGAGAGTGTGATTAGCACGCTCTTCCCCATAATTCATCAGCACTTTGTTTGCTCCCAACCACTCCTCAGGTTTTGACCTTTTCCTTTTTAAATTGGGCAGGTTATGGTAACAGGGTCAGTGAATCATTTCCCCTGTGCTCCTCAGTTAAATGTGCTAGTTACCAAATTGACTAAAAACAAAAAAAAAGCAGAAAGTCCTGTCCTTTCTCCTCCTCTAACATAAAGTTCTGTGCCCTCCCTGAATTCAAGTATTACAATCAATCATACCAACTATATAACTATTAAAAACCTTTACAGAAAGGTTCTTATTCTGTTCAGTTTCATTCTTTGAATTAGTAAAACAAACCCCTTACTATACAGAAATAATTCCAAAATTACTTCAAACAATTCAAAACATAAGCTGCCTCTTTTTTTTTTTCTTTTGGTAAGGATAAAATGTCAAAAGCAGGAAAGAATCCAGGATGGCTTAACTGTCAGGATTTGTCTTGGCTTTGCTGCTGTGAGAAGTTTAGCCAGAAAATATTCACACTATGAAATGCAGTACATTAAGGAGACCTGTGTCACTGAATACCTGCATTGTACCATAAATGTTTATTTGTGTTTGAAAGAGCCTAAAGAATTTCTCTGGAATAGAAATGAGAATGAAGAATGGGAGCTGTTGGCTGCTCTCAGAATAGAAGCAGCTTTTTGCCCACTTGTGTGGTATTTATTTCATAAATCGGGAATATATTGACTAAAGTCAGTGGAGATTGAAAACAAGTATAAAAGAGTAATCATACACATGAGGTTTTATCTAAAAATGCCTGTAAAACATATTTGAAAAGCATCTGTGTACTGCAGTGTACATGGGAAGTAGTATGGGTCTTCTTTGTGCTGCTTTTTGAAGTTGACCCAGGGAAAATTGTATGTGTTTTAGAGATATAAACTAAATGTGATTGGTCTGTATTTCAGTATGAATGTATAGCCTATAAAACATTTGTTAGCATCAAGTAACAGAATCTTAAAATTGTAGAATGGTTTGGCTTGGAAGGGACCTTAAAGTTCATCCAGTTCCAACCCCCTGCTGTGGGCAGGGACACCTCCCACCAGACCAGGTTGCTCAAAGTCCATGCATGACTGCTTCCAGCACTGTATGCTACTTTGTCATTTATTTCATTCAAAGTGTATTGAAATTATATTATTAGAAAATCTAGTTACACTCTTTATGAAACACATATTATTCTCATGCAGCTATTAGTTGTTTAAAACTTTCAAAGTTTATCTTAGACCATACAATTTTTGCAGTGGATTATGTGATCAAAACCTATGAGTGTTAAACTCTCAAGAAAGGAAGAAAAAAAAAGGCAACTCTCCCCTTGAAACTAAATCTGAACCTTCAATCCAGTATAGTCCCATGAGCTTTACTCTGAGAAGCAATAAAAGCAAAACGCAGTAATTACTTACTGAAGACTTTCCATGAGCCTGTCCCAGACAATAGTAGTAATGAGTGTGAGTAAATAATCTGCTTTCCTAGGAAACATCAGACTCTCTGATAGACAAACATGCTGGGCCAGAAAATAATTAATGCCTTATTTTGGAATTAAGTGTATAATATTAAGTCTGTTGGAGGACACAGGTATATATATATATATACATACACATTTTTCAAGTACTCAGACAAACATGCTGGGCCAGAAAATAATTAAAGCCTTATTTTGGAATTAAATGTATAGTGTTAAGACTTTTGGAGGACACAGGTGTATATATATATATACATTTTTCAAGTACTGTAAGTTGTAAATGACTACTAAAATATGTTCTCAATGGTGGAGTTAAGCATTTTGTTATTCCAAACTTGTTTTTCACTTGAATAATTGTTTTGATAATAATATTACTTGTAATGCTTAATTGTAGCAGCAGCTGGAAGGAATGTTAAGTTGTTTAGATTTTATTTCAGTACCTCGTGAATAGGAATTAGAACATAATCTCCACGGGGGTGACAGAGAGCTGCCAATTAGTCTCCTGCAAGGTAAATTAATTTTGTGTGCCTGAGAAGTATCTAGTAATAGTTACCAGCAGGAATGAGAAACCAGTCTGACTAAACTACAGGTGTATTGTAACACATTTGTTTTGAAGTCAAACCTCAGGAATACTTTTCATGAAATCTTCTTAACTACTTTCCTTGGAAAACATTTAAAAAGGGAGAAGCAGCAAAGTAAAAGCAATTAGTTACAATTACTGCCTTTTTGACTTTTTTTTTTTTTTTTTTTTTTTTTTTTTTTTAAATCTTATCCAGATGGGTAAGCCACCTCTATTGAGATTATAGAAAGAAATACTAGTTTGTTTTGGTTTATGGTTTGTTTTTTTTTTCATAGAAAGAAATACTAGTTTGTTTTGGTTTAAGGTTTGTTGTTTGGGTTTTTTTTCCTTTGTAGATCCGAGCTGTCACTGGGAGATGTATCTTCGAGCTCTCTGAAGGGGACTGTTGTGGTGGCTCAGTGTGACTGCAGTGACCACGATGAGTGTGAGTGCTCTGTGCCTTCTCCGAGACTCAACTGCACTTACATCATGTGGCTGAAGATGACAATTGATGTAACACCTCTGTGGTCACCTTTGATGGCAGTCAAACCCGTAGACATAGGTAAGTATAATGTATATTTTAAAGCTTTTTTTGTAATGGAGAACAGCAGCGGGATGTCTCTGCTGGAAAAGGAGGGCACAGACAGAACAGGAAAAGGCTTCCTGGTGCTGTCTCACTTGCTCAGGGTGGTGCTGTGCGCGTTTTGGAGCTGCCTAATGCCTGTCTGGGCTCTAGTACAAGCCCATTCTGAGCAAAGGCCAGGCTGTCAACACGCCTGAGCTTTCTTTTCTAATTGGGACCTCTCTGTGCCTGAGTCTGGCATGATGGTGGAGCTTATCTGTGTTCCTGAGGACTTAAATTAACAAGTGAGGGGGAAAAGAATCTATTCCTAAAGTTACTTAGCAAATAAAACCACCTCTTTTCTCAAGCAACTCCTTACACATACAATACCAGCTTTTTCCAAGCTGGAAAACATTCCACTGTGTTTAATCAAGTTAAAACTGTACTGACATTATGAATTTGATATGTGGTGTTATCCAAAATGCACAGTTATTGCAGATCTTGGAAAATTTCAAAAAGGCAGGGACTCTGTCAGCTGTAGGGAAAAAAAAATAGAAATTTTATCAACTTCCTAACTGATGTGTTTTGCAGACAGAGTAAGTTAAAAGTCTCTGGGTGGGCTAGTTTTGAAGATGTGAGGTTGCATTTTTCATCATGCTGCTTTTAAATTATGCTCCAGGAAAAAATTAAAAATTCAGAGCTGCTGCCAGTATTTAAAATTACATAATTAGTTTGTTCTGCTTAGTGAAGTATATTTCAAAATGCATAATATTAGTGTATGTTCTGCCAAGATTTAGCTCAATTAGAACTATTTTGAAAGTAAAGCTGCGAGTACTTGTGAAATGTAGAGTTGTACTTGCTTGTAGATGGTATCAGTAGAACAGGTGGCATCGGTAGAACAGACATCATTTGAATTGTACGAGTGACAAAAGTGTGATGTGGAAGTTACTGACTTGTGTTTTAAAACCTATGCCATTTTCTGAGGCCGAGTGGGTGTAATCCTAACCACCATTCTAAATTGCCCATCCATTTCCCTCTCCAGAGAGTTCTTTTTATCATTGTGGGAAATTTCTGAAACCCTCCATTTTCACTTTGCCCTAAAGTGGCTCTCCTGGAGACCTTCTTTCGTAGCCACAATCACTGGGGAGGGGATGGGAATATTTAGAAATTCTTTGTGTATAATATGAGGACGTTATCTCCTGTCTCCTGAGGAGCTGAGCTTTGCTCAGCACTCCCATCCCTCTGTCCTCTTTTCAGTAAATTAGTGCTTTACTGGGGAAAATCATGGCCCAAGGCAAGAAATTAATGTAGTCTTAAGGCAAACGTTAGGTCAAACCACATGTCTTGATAACTAACCCTATAACACTGCCAGGGTGTGCTTTTACAGTGATATTACACTGTCACGCAGTAGCTGTAGAGCAGCTCTTGGAAACTGAGTGGAAAGGAAAGGTGTGAATCAGTAAAAACCCATCGCCGCCAGCAGTTGTAGATGATAAGGTTAGTGGTAAACATGTTAATTCATTTGTCTGCAGTAAAGCCTGAACCTCCTTTGAACCTGCACCTAGAAATGGCAGAGAAAGGTCAACTGAAGATCTGCTGGTCTGCCCCTGTGCTGATGCCATACCCACTCCAGTATGAAGTGAGGATCTCTGCAAGTTCCAGTGGAAATGGTTGGCAGGTGAGTCTGTTCTGCCCACTTCGTTTTGCGGTTCGGGTCAGTGGGTCTCTTCCAGAGCCCAGGGTTTCTCACCACCCTCCTTCTCCTTGGGCAGTGGTGCTGGTGGGCTGAGCAGCGTGGCTGGTCTGGTGGAGCTGGGCAGGGAACACTGGTTTCTCCTGAGCTGGTGTGTCCAGCTAAACTGGTGAGCTGGACTTCACATCTGTTACTCTGAGAAAGCCGCTACACAATGATGAAAGACCCATCTCCTGTTGGATCTCACAAACAAACTCCCAGCTTTCTTTTTGGATGAAATACTAGGTTCTGTGAAGTCTAAAGGCAAAGCCCTCTCCTCTCAGAAAATCCCAAATTCCATGATACATACGTATATGTTCAATATTTATAGCTTTTATGAGTGAATTGCTTTTTTTTGTTGTTACCACGCAACTGGCTCTGGAATAAAAAGCAACTGCTAATTAGCAGTCCTTAATGAAATAAGATGTTTTCCACAGGGGTATGCAACTTCTACCATATTCAGATTTACAGTATCATAGAATCATAGAATGGTTAGGGTTGGAAGGAACCTCAAAGATCATGGAGTTCCAACAGAAGAAAGCTTTTTTTACCCCATTTGCTACTGTAGAGTATTTGTTTTGCTTCCCTCTGTCTCTTTCTTTTTCCTGTTTCATTATACAACAACAACAGCTTCTGATAATCCCACAGATGGTTCGAGTGGCTCTAGAAACCTCACTGGCCATAGACAATGCGCTACTTGATTCTTCACCCTTAGTTCAAGTGCGGTGCAAGAACCATGGGGGTCCAGGGTTCTGGAGTGAGTGGAGCACACCGTATAACCTGGGAGGTAGGTCACGCACAGTCATGTATGTGCAGTGGAATAGAACTGGTTTCCCAGTTTGATTCCACTTGTGGAACGAGTATTTGGGAGCGTGTGTTATCCAGGGAGGTACCCTGTGCATGGGTTGGGCTGAAAAACCCTGTGGAAGTTCTTTCCCCTTCTGCTTCTCTTTCTGCCTGGCTTTGCCCCCTGCAGTGGAATAGAACTGGTTTCCCAGTTTGATTCCACTTGTGGAACGAGTATTTGGGAGCGTGTGTTATCCAGGGAGGTACCCTACGTATGGGTTGGGTTGGGCTGAAAAATCCTGTGGAAGTTCTTTCTCCTTCTGCGTGGCTTTGCCTGAGATTCTGCTCCTTCCTTGGTACAAGATGTGCACTGAAAGAGTTCTGCACAGTCACACCCGTGACACCTCCTTGTCTGGCCCTGTTGCTTGCTCACCAAGCACCTGCTCAGACCCAGAAAAAGCTCTTTCTCTAAGAGTTTTTCCACTTCAAAAGACAGTTGGCAACATCTAACTTCTACTCAGTAGATTTTTCTCTTAATGTGCTTTCTCTAACTTTTAGCCGAGATTCTGCTCCTTCCTTGGTACAAGATGTGCACTGAAAGAGTTCTGCACAGTCACACCCGTGACACCTCCTTGTCTGGCCCTGTTGCTTGCTCACCAAGCACCTGCTCAGACCCAGAAAAAGCTCTTTCTCTAAGAGTTTTTCCACTTCAAAAGACAGTTGGCAACATCTAACTTCTACTCAGTAGAAGATTTTTCTCCTAATGTGCTTTCTCTAACTTTTAATTTAGTGTGAGGCTTTGTAGCGGAACTAAAAGTGCAGAACACAGTTTGGGGGTTGTAGATTTAACATAATCCATCCTGGTTTGTAATGCTGAGCCCCAATAATAAACTGTGTGATAGCCCCAGTCACTCACTTTCAATGCGTGTAGCTTTAGGTTTAAGCATATAATCTTATATGCTGTAATCTATTTACCACCCAAATTGGGTGAATTCCTGACGTACTGCACGTGGTAAGAGCTCTCCTAGAGTGAGTAAAGGGAATGATTTAATGAGGTTGTTTATATCAACATAGCACCTGCTAAAATGATAGATCGTAATGGCTCTTTATTCAGGGTCTTTATTCAGACTATATAGGAAGGGAAAGAAATATAGCTGGGCAGGTCCTTGGTCAGTGATCAGGGTCACTGATCTGCTTCCCAGATTGATTGGTTTTGAGTCAGCCTAAAAATTTTGGGATATTTTACATTGTATTTTTCCATGCCCTTCTTGTGATTTGGTCTGCATTGTCACAGGTGTCCTCTGAACTATTACATGACAGTGCTAATGCTTTACCTCGTCACTTACATGTACCCCTGCTCGCCGTGTGCTACATAGTATAATGTATGTCTTTAAATTAAGTACCAAGGAAATAACTAAACTTTGCAGAAGTAGCACTCTTCCAAGAAAGCTGAAAATACACAGACCCTCATAGCAATCAAGCATGAAGCACGGGATGCCTGGTTATATGACTAGAGGTCTAACTGGCCCTTAGGCTTTTGCATTTATATCTATATATATAAAAATAAAAAAAATGTATGTGTGAAGCGCAGGATGCCTGGTTATATGACTAGAGGTCTAACTGGCCCTTAGGCTTTTGCATTTATATCTATATATATAAAAATAATAATAAAAAAATGTTTGCATATAACTGTATAGCTTTCAGAATGTTTGGGGGCTAAATACACATTTTCTCTCTCACATACACATATACTGATATTTTCAGAGAGGGTTTATGAGTGTGGTGAGAAATATGGATGTAAAACAGGAGCCACAGATCCTGTTAGATTATTTTTTATCAATCCTGTTATGGGATGTGTAATTGTATTAAAGGTATATCTCACCAGCAAAATAATCCTGTTGTGCCAAACCCGAGAGCAGCACAGAGGGATCTTTGGCAAACTGTTCCTTTTCAGCAGGTATAAAACACCTGGAGCTTCCCATAGTACCTGACCTGTTTACATGCATTGCAAATTCAGTGTCTTTATTCCTAGGTGAATTACTTACGTATCACTGCTACTATTTGGTAATAAGGACACCGCTGAGATTGTAAAACAAGTTTTTGGGACACTCATTTCTTGCCGGGTTCAGTAGGAGCAAGATTAGTAACTACTGGAAAGCTTGATTATTTTTTTTTAATTTATTTTGTTTTCAGTCCCCTCTCCTCCAGTTCTGAATAGCAATTCTTTCAAAATCTGCATTCCAATATCACTTCAGCTGGTGTGTGATTTCAACATCCTTGCAGGGTTCAAATAGTTAGATTATTTATTTTTTTTTCCAAAGCTAAACATAGCTCTTCTCTTACTTGGATCTTCTCTCATTTTTACCTGAGGACAATTTAAAAATCTGTGGTGTATGTGTTTGTGAGATGAGTTACAGAAGCTGACCCTTTATAGATTGCAAGTACTTGTTGTGGTATTTAAATAACCTGACCTGATGCCTTAAAAAAGTGGGCTGAGTAAAAGGCAGCATTAGTTTCCCAAGATTTAATTTAGAGGAGCCCGTATAATTCCCTGTTTCCCTTGTGCTGCTGTGTATTGCTTTCCCTGTACCCTCCAGTGATTTTTTGCTCTTTTAATTCCTGTTTGCCTGGGGATATTAAAGGTTATTTTAATCAGAATTTACAAATACCTGTTATGGAGGGAGATAGTCAAAGGCTCTTTTCTGCCCCTCTCCCCTTACAGTTGTTAATAGGAATTAAGAAGTAGGAAATATAGAAATACAACTGGGTGATGATAATAATAATAATAATATATTTCTGTTGACATGTGCTTTTACGTTTTTTTTGTTCAGATTCTAATCTCAATGGATGTTTTTTCCTTTTTTTCCCCCTCTGTGTAGGTGAAGTCCTGTACTTCCCTCCTAAGATACTGACCAGTGTTGGTTCTAACGTTTCCTTTCATTGCATCTATAAAAACAAAACCAAGATTGTAGTGTCCAAGAAGATTGTTTGGTGGCTGAATTTAGTAGAGGAAATCCCAGAAAGTCAGTATACGCTTGTGAATGATCGCGTAAGCAAAGTTACTCTTTTCAACTTGAAAGCAACAAAACCTAGAGGAAGTTTCTTCTATAACGCATTGTACTGTTGTCATCAAAATAGGGAATGTCATCATAGATACGCTGAATTATATGTAGTAGGTAAGATTCCAGATGATTTTGAATTATAATTTTGGTGCATTTTGATAGTCAGGTCAGAATATTTCCATTTTAAACTCCAGTTAGCTTTTATTGAGCAGTTATGACTTGTAATGCATATTTTCATGTAAACAATCATATCTTTATTAATTACCTTTCAATGTGTTTTAATTAGATGTGAATATTAATATCACATGTGAAACGGATGGGTATTTAACTAAAATGACTTGCAGATGGTCTGCCAACCCAAACACGTTGCTCCTGGGGAGTTCCTTGCAGTTAAGATACTACAGGTATGTAGAGCTTTTAATGCTTTCTCTATGGTTGGAAGGTGTTGCTCTGGAAATGCTATTACAGCAAACAATTCTGAATAGATGGAAATACAAAATGTGCTTGGTTTCTTTAAGCTGGTTGTTTTCCCAATGGGAGCTCCAGGGGTGTTAACTACATGTGCAGAAAGGGGACCGCAGATACCTGAGTATGTAATGTGAATTCTATTTACCACATTTTTCAGCATTATAAAACCTGTAGATGCAGTTTGGAAGCCAGTTTCTTAAAGATGTGTTTGCCTGGATCAGTTATAAAAATTTTTCATCTAGTTGCTCGTATCTACAAATTGTAAGGAAATAAGGGAAAAAAGTGTTCACAGTGAGAGTGAGCACTCCCTACCAGGGAGGTGGTAGAATCTGTCTTTGGAGACTTTCAGATCTCGACTGGACAAGACCATGGGCAGCCTCATCTGACTTAAATTCAGATTTAGTTAATTAAGTTTAGCTTGACCCTGCTTTGAGTCGAGGGTAGGACTTCAGACCTCTTGAAGTCTCCATTCAATCTTTGCTTTTTCTCTAATGCTGTATCTTTTTGTCTATGTGCAGGCAGCAGATAAAAATACAGGGATGGAATTTAATTAATTCCAGATGGAAAAAAATCTTGCTTATAAAGAGAGAATAAAATCTTAGCTCAACAAAGGGATTATTGCTTTATGAAGGTGGCATCTTTGGTGGCTAGAGCATTTCTCAGTTTTTTTTGGTTTTGGCTGAGCTTGTTTTCAGATGGTTGGTTTAATTTTGTCTGTCTTCTGGCCAGAGCAGGAGAGCTGGGGTGTGCTGTGGGGCAAACACATTATTGTTTGCAAAATACAAAACTGATCATTAAATCGGTTTATGATCATCCTCATTTTCATTCATGTACACAAATATTGCCTGTGATAGTATTGTTTAACCATGAAACCAAAAAACCCCTTAGAGTTACTAGGATATTGAGCTTGAGAGTTTCCTAGAAGGGTGTTATTCTTTCTATAAACAAGACAGACAGACAGACAACCCTTCCTGAGAAAAAAATCTTGAGTTTTCCTGCTCTGCTGGACTGAATATGTGAAAGTTTTGGCCAACAAGCTTAAATCAGCCCCGAGGGCCTAATCCTCTTTGGAGAGTTGGATTGTCTTCTCTCTTGGAGGTGAAGTCTTGAACAATCATAGTACCCAGGTGAATATTTCTCAGGATTTTGTGGACTAAAGTAAGAACTGGAATGTTTGAGATTTCAAAGGGAGACTTTTAGGGCAGGATTAGTGACTCGCTGACTGCTAAGGCAGGTTTTGTTTCAACTGTCTTCACAAATATGAATATCATAAGTGTACTGCTGGGCAGGGAGCTTGAAATAAAACCCATGCTTCTCTTGCCATAGTTTTTATTCCCACTTTTTTTACTGTTGAGGTTTAGCTAGAAATGTTTTTTTTTCTAATAGGAGGTGATAATCTGCGCATTTGTTACAGCGTCCCTGCTAGATCAAAGAGTGAACATTCATACAGGCTGAAAATGCTTCCCAGATGCTAGTATTTATTGTGATCTTTCTTTCTGTTCTTTTTTTTTGTGTTTGTTAATAGTAGGATCTGAAAGAGGAAAAATAAAAAATAAAAACAATAAATCATGGGGAACCACATGAATGCAGCAACTCCTAAAAAGTTAAAGTATAAGACATTTAAAAAATTTATAGTTTTGAAAACACCAGTATCATTTGCATAACATTCTATTGCATATCGGGAACAAAAATACAGAAAGGACTTGAATGTTTTACAAACTTGAAACCAAAGGAAATGGTTGATTTAATTGCCCAAGCTTGATTGTAAGAGGCACCATATATACATTGGAGTTGCTTAGACAGAGACAGGTCGTCAGGATGAAAGCTGGAAGTTTGTGTTGCATTGGGTTTTCCAGGAGCGGGCAGCTATTCTTCTCAGTTACTGATGCAACTCCATTTTGCAGGTGAAATCCAATGCTCTCCAGTAATTTGGTGTGATAGCTTTGCTCTTGGTGTTTTGTTTTGCTTGGGTTGTTACTTCATCTTCCTCTGCAGTCGGTGCTGCCAACAGAAACAGAATCACGCTGGAAAAACAGAGAATGGGGAGCTAAACCTTCAAAGCACAAGGCACCAGTTTAATCAGTATTTTTTACGTTGACAGGGAGAGATTCAGCTGAGCGTAACTGTTGTGGTTCAGCTGAATAACTAGTACCCTCTCTGGCTGCTCTCACCACAAGTCTGAGCTGTGCACAAGCTTAGCAGAAACTAGGAGAAATTGCAAAAATTTCCATCACCGATAAGATATCCGGTGCCATTTTATCCAGAGTCCAGGTCTCCTCCCTTCTGTTGCCAGATTTGATACTGGCTGTATGTGGGATTTTCATACCACCCTCCAGAACTGCTGTTTTTATGGGATTTCCATCTCCTGGAGACTTCTCTGGGCATGTCCAATTGGTCCACGTGGCAGCTTTTCCCTGGACACCAGCTGATACTTTGAAAGTCATATTCCTGGCAGGAGGAAGTTCTTGGCTGGACATCTGCCTTGCTACGTGTATTGCTAATCCATACCACTCAAGTAACCTGATTTATGAGTGTTTGGAGGTGCCTGCTCTTGGCCTACCTGTTCCTTCCTGTGGTTAATCTGTTATCAAGAGATTTTGCACTAAGGAGAGCCTTCCATGTCCTGCTTTTTAAGGCTAAAAGCCAAAGCTTTAACGCCACGGTGTTATTTATCCATTTAGTGCAGGCTTGAGTTCAAGATCTGTCCAAACAATCATCAAACCCCCCCCAATGGTTCCAGTGACACCATTTATTTTAATTACCTTCAGAGTTCTATATTGCAATGTTGTAGTTGCAAGGTATTAACTGAACGTTGTTTTTTTTTTCCTTTCCTCTTTTAAGGAGCAGAATTTATTGTTCTGACTTTCCAAGTACTTCTCCAAAATCAGAGGTGAAAGAATGCCATTTACAGAAGAATCATTCTTATGAGTGCATGTTTCAGCCTATTTTTCTTTTGTCTGGCTATACCATGTGGATAGAGTTTAAACACTTCCTGGGAACACTTGAGTCCTCACCGACCTGTGTCGTTCCAGCAGATGTGGGTAAGTCAAGATCCCTGCACGTCCTGGAGGTGCCTGCTCTTGGCCTACCTGTTCCTTCCTGTGGTTAATCTGTTATCAAGAGATTTTGCACTAAGGAGAGCCTTCCATGTCCTGCTTTTTAAGGCTAAAAGCCAAAGCTTTAACGCCACGGTGTTATTTATCCATTTAGTGCAGGCTTGAGTTCAAGATCTGTCCAAACAATCATCAAACCCCCCCCAATGGTTCCAGTGACACCATTTATTTTAATTACCTTCAGAGTTCTATATTGCAATGTTGTAGTTGCAAGGTATTAACTGAACGTTGTTTTTTTTTTCCTTTCCTCTTTTAAGGAGCAGAATTTATTGTTCTGACTTTCCAAGTACTTCTCCAAAATCAGAGGTGAAAGAATGCCATTTACAGAAGAATCATTCTTATGAGTGCATGTTTCAGCCTATTTTTCTTTTGTCTGGCTATACCATGTGGATAGAGTTTAAACACTTCCTGGGAACACTTGAGTCCTCACCGACCTGTGTCGTTCCGGCAGATGTGGGTAAATCAAGATCCATGCACGTCTTTCTTCACTTGTGACCTTGGATTTCATTCCTTATATGGTGTAGGCACAGTACTACTTCACAGCATTTCAAATAAATCAGATTGTGGAAAGAACACAAGAACATAAGAGCTTTGGTATTGTCTTCTAAAAGCCATTGGATTAAATGTTATTTCCATACGTTTTGCTCAGCGCAGGAGCAGATTGTAACTGCAGCTAATACCTATGAAATGAAACATCCAGTCTTGCATGTTTATCCTCTTGTGGGTTTTGCATAGACATCCACAGAAAATGCAAGTATTATATTTAAAAAGACTCTTATTTTCAAGGTCCTTGGTTATCTGTTTTTTCTGAAGCTTTTGATTAGTTGTTAAGCTTATACTTTGATACAGCGTAGCATTATATGTATTACTTACACAGTTAAATATTCATTTAAAACCCTAGGGACTGTTCCTGATTTTGCAAAGCTGCTTCACATAAAGCACTTAAATTTGTATAAAAGCAAGAGGCAAGAAGAGTGTTTGAGTGTTTTCAAACACTGCAAAATGTGCAAAACAATTCTTATTGTCTGGTTGATGACTCAGAGCACTCATTGGACTGTGTATTTTTTGGACACAAATGTGGACATATGTAGAGAGAGCTAGACCGCAGAAGTGCTGCATGAAATAAAGCAGAATAATAAAATACATCTATTATGTGTGTGGAGAAACATACATGCAGAGAACACAAATGAAAACAAGTTATCCTCTGCATGTCAAAGTTTAAATAGAGTAAGTAAAAAGGAAGGTCAGGGGAAGGAAAGGCAAAGTTCAGTGTGTCGTAGTTAAGTGGGGTATTGGAATTATTATTACTGTTAAGTTAGTGGCCTTGTGGTTTTCAAGGTTGCTCTGGTCTAGTTCAGAGCAAGCTGTTTGTGCCTTTTTGATCATCAGAGGAGTATTGGGGGCCTTGGGTGTCAGAAAGGAGGGTAGTGCAAGAGCTGGTGGGTAGGGATCCTTCTTCTGCCACTTAGACCGTTTGCCAGGAGATCCTGGCACCTTGTCAGCCTGGCAGCTGTAGCGTTGGTCTGTGGTGGGCACAATTTAAAGCCTTTTTCATTTTCTTTTTGTTGTTATCCCCTCGCTCACCATCTGATTAGTCAAAATAAGTTGATTCTAACTTTGTTAACAAACTAGGGCTTTGTGACGTTCCTGTGCAATCTGCTGAAGAAGCTCAATTTTGGTGGAATTTCCTATTAATAAAATAAAAATGTAATGTAATATTTCATAGAATCATAGAATTGTCTAGGTTGGAAGGGACCTTTAAGATAATCTGGTCCAACCATCAACCTAACTCTGATAAAAACCATCACTAAACCGTGTCACTAAGCAGAATGTCTGTCACCATCCTTTATAGGAGCTGCTTTTCTGGGCCATGTGTGCCACTTCTTCCCACAGTGGTGCACCCCTTAGTGACAGGCTGCATCTTTCTCTGTTAGCACTGTGAAGGTACCAAGTGCTAGCACCAATGTAAGCTATTGTGGTTTAAATTAAAATTAAATGGACTGAAACTTGCCCATGGCTTTTTTTTTTGGTCATGGAAAATTTGTTCAAATTTTGACCAAAACTAAAATCACCAAAAAAAAAAACCCCTTAGGTGAAATATCAAAATTTTCTTAGGGAATAATCATTTTATTTGAAAAAAAAAAAAAAAAAAAAGAGTATTGATAAGTAGCATGGTTTTTTTTTTTTTTTTTTTCTTTTCTTTCAATTTTCTAGTGAAGCCGCTTCCTCCTTCTAACGTCAAAGCAGAAATCACCAGGGATGTGGGGCTGCTGAACGTGAGCTGGACAAACCCAATGTTTACAAACAACGAGCTTAAATTTCAGATTCGGTACGCCCTGAACAGGAAGGAAATTTCATGGGAGGTACTGTCTTTTTGCCTCTGGGTCGACGCCTGAATTGTTGCAGTGTTGGCATTTGGTGTGCTGGCTGTTTTTTGGTGGAATTTGTGGATTGTGAATCACTTGCAAATGTTCATTTGCATTATCTAGCAAAGAAATATTACCAATTATAGTTAATAGAAAGGCTACTTTCTCACTCGATTCATTTTCAGGAATTTTGGCTTTCACAGATGCCTAACTGAGCCTTTTCACAGAATCACAGAATCTTAGTGGTTGGAAGGGACCTCCGAGATCATCGAGTCCAACCACATTAAAAAAAAAACAAAACACACCACAAAACAAAAAAACCACCACAAAAACAACAAACCCAAACCCACCACCCACCAACTAAACCCCACACCCACAACCCCACACACTACACCCCACCACAAACCAATAACCTTGGGCACTAGAGCATGCCCTGAAGAGCCATGTCTACACGTTTCTTAAATCCCTCCAGGGATGGTGACTCCACCACCTCCCTGGGCAGGCTGTTCCAGTGCCTGAGCACTCTCTCAGTAAAGTAATTCTTCCTAAAGAAGAATTCCTTGTTCTTACTCTGAGTGTTTTGACTTCTGTTACAGCTTTATGAGGTTTCAAATGCACAAGGATCAGTTGTGATAAAAGTTCAGAAACTCTGCGTGGAGTATGTTGTTCAGGTGCGGTGCAGAGAACTGGATGGCCCGGGTTACTGGAGCAACTGGAGCAGACCAGCCTACACCCTGGTACAAGATATCAAAGGTACGTGTGGTCTCAGAGCACGCTCTGATGGTCTGTCCAGTGCCAGGCTGAGATGTGCCACCGTTCTTTTACAACTCTGTAATCCTACAGCTCCCTTACAAGGCCCTGAATTTTGGAGGATTGTTATTGAAGATCCGGTGAGGAGGCAGAAGAACGTTACGCTCCTGTGGAAGGTGAGAACAATTACATCTTGGTCTTTCACTTTGATCCAAAATACATGGGGGAAATTGCCAAAAAGGGAGTATGATAAGCACAAGCAGTTGATGTTTCTGGGACTTTGTAGGCAAGGCATTTGGGATATGACTTCTTTGGTGTTCCTGCCTCTTCCTTGGCTAATACTAGAGTTTTTTGGTGAATATTGATCCTAATACTGTGATACCAGGTGAGACACTTCTGTCTTCTTTGCTCAGTCAGCCTGTCTGGTACTTTACTCCCTTCACTTCAGTGTTAGTTAGACAAATGCTATGAAACAGGGACTTAAAATGCAATTTATTCTAATACTCAGAAAAAAAGATTAACACGGAATCAAAAACTGTAAGTTACAATGAGATGTGTTCTTCAGCTGCCAAGATCTCTGAGCAGGATGTGCCACCGACTCCCGGGCAGCTGCCTGTATAAACACCACTGCAACTGCCTGTAAACTGGGCAAAGCTGTGTTAAAAGGTGAATACAGGACAGAGGGGAGAAAAAAAAAAAGTACATCAGTGCCTGCCTGCTCCTGTTTGTCCGTGTTTAGGATGCAGAGTCGTCTGTTCTGGTTTTTCAGTCCTGAAAAATACTAATATAAAACAGTGAGTTCCTACAGGAAAAGTAGAAAGTCTGTATTTCCGTCTTCCCCCCCTGCCCTCCCTTAGCAAGGAAGTGTGTCAGCTCTTGGTGACAGAAGAAATTAAGGCTTTAAATGGACTTTGCTAAAGGACAGTAGCCAGCCTATAGAATATCTTGATTGGGTTGTGTTTTCTTAAATTTGAATCGGCGCCTTCTGCCCAAATAGCAGTTGCTTTTTGAAATCAAAGCCTGGGAAATGAGCTAATGCCAATGTTTGCTGCAGCCACTGCTGAAGAATTGCTCACTGTGCAGCGTGAGCCGGTACGTTATAAAGCATCAGACATCAGGAAACACCACGTGGTCAGAGGATGTTGATAATGGCACCACCTCTTCGTTTCCGTGGACTGAAGACACACACACCGTTACAATTTTAGCCATGAATTCCATTGGAGTTTCTTCAATTAATTTTAATTTAACTCTATCAAAGCAAATGAGCACAGGTAAGAACACTGCTCAGTAACTACTTGGAGATGTGGAAACTGCTAGGGATCTTTGTGATGCTTTTGGACAAAGCCTTCTTTGTAATAAAATTCCCTTTGTTAGAATAAAAAATGTTTTATGATGATTCATTCAGCTGTATTTGGGAAACAGATTCTGTATCTTGCCAATAGAGCTATTTGAAAAATGAAAATTCCATCGTATGAAAATCTTAATGATCTTTGGGTTGGGAAAAGAGTTGTCTTTAACTGGGCTTTCTTCCTTCCACCGACAGAAGAGAAAGTAATTAATCAAATAAAACTAAAATCTTCCTGTAGAACTGATCTTTCATCTATTTTGTCGTGGGAACACCCAGCATTCCTGCTGGGGAATGTTTTGTTGTTTCCAAAATGGAATGTGGTCTTGTTTCTCTGGCTGCTCACCTGATGGGCTGCCAGAGTACATAGTTTTCAGAGGTTTGGCTTTACTTCCTCTGCGGCCTCTTCACTCATTCGGCTGCGCTCTGCTTTATTAATAAAACAGCAAATTAATAAAACTAATACATTTTCAAAAGCAAAACTTTATTTTAAATACTTGAATTGTGTAACGTTCATATGCAGATTTATGCTCTGGAGACATTAGTGCTGTCTCTTCTTGGAACCGTACTGCTGTAATGCAATTTTTAAAGCATTTTTATGGATACAATTCTTTCTGATGCTGTGTAGAAGCATATTCTGGAAACCCTGGAGTTGGAAGCAGGTGTGATGGGAAGTGTTTGTCCGACTGGATTGTTATCTTGGTGTATGACTTAGATTCAATAGGATTTAGCTTAAAGGCTCTGAGTGTGTGCTTTGTTAGCTAAATGTTGACAGTTCAGTAGCTGTTGATATTTTTTTTAGTTAAGGAGCAATAATTAAGGAGGTGTGCATGAGAATCAGGATATTTGTTTGATGTCTGGTAAGAAACTTGATTTATTTAATGTTTGGGACTAGTTGGTGTAAACTGAGCTTTGCTGGCTTAAAGAGAAATGCATCTGCCTATGTGAACTGAAGAACAGGCCTTGTTTTATAGAAGATAATGAAGCAAGTAAATGATAAAGTGCTGAAACCACAGCAGTTATTCCTGTGCAAGTAATTTGTGGCTGCTCTCTCCTTGTTCTGGCAGTGAGTGTAGTGGAGTCCCTCAGTGCTTACCCCGTGAACAGCACTTGTGTGGTTTTGGTTTGGACACTTTCACCTCCAATACATGTGCTGATATCTTTTGTTATTGAATGGAAGAACCTTAACAAAGAAGAGGAGATGAAATGGGTGCGAGTTCCTCCGAATATTAGTAAATATTATATTTATGGTGAGTGTGCACTTAAAAATGTAATACATTATGTTAATTGTTACAGAACACAAAAATGTAGCATTGGTGACCTCTTGGAATCATTTTTCCCCCTCTCTGTCCCTGGTGGCTTTTCAGTTAAGGACCAGTAGAACAATTCTTGACTATGGTTAGAGGGTTGACTCTTGCATTAATAATCAGATTAAAGTGCTTACCCCGTGAACAGCACTTGTGTGGTTTTGGTTTGGACACTTTCACCTCCAATATATGTGCTAACATCTTTTGTTATTGAATGGAAGAACCTTAACAAAGAAGAGGAGATGAAATGGGTGCGAGTTCCTCCAAATATTAGTAAATATTATATTTATGGTGAGTGTGCACTTAAAAATATAATACATTATGTTAATTGTTACAGAACACAAAAATGTAGCGTTGTTGACCTCTTGGAGTCATTTTTCCCCCTCTATGTCCCTGATGGCTTTTCAGTTAAGGACCAGTAGAACAATTCTTGACTGTGGTTAGAGGGTTGACTCTTGCATTAATAATCAGATTAACATAGAAAGAAGCTCAGGAGTATGTTCATTTTTTGGCAATGCAATAAAATTAGTTCTGGAATACTGAGTGCACTAGCTAATTGTCTCCATTAATATGCGCATTCCATTTGCATTTTGGTTTTAATCTTAGAAATTTTTACAGTAGCTCCATAAAGGTGTGAATTCCAGAATAGAATAATGCTAGATTATCCAGTATAGATTATTAATTTTAATCTTTTGATATTAAAGCATGTATCTATAAAAAATGGCTTTCGTTATTCCCCTCTCTGTGGGCTGATCTGAACTCTGGTATGTGACCCTGAGCCTCTGTGGAGGTAATTATTTAAAAGGAGGATAATAATTTTGATTCAAAAAATCTGACTTCCTCTTTCCAGATCACTTTATTCTGATTGAGAAGTACCAGTTCAGCCTGTACCCTGTGTTTGCTGGAGGGGTTGGCAAATCCAGAGCAACGGATCAGTTTGCCAAAGGTGACTTACAGGATCTTTCTCTCTGTTGTTCATGAAATAGGAGCTTGTAAAAGTATACTTCAAATGCAGAATTCAGTATATTATCAGGAAAAAAAGTCAATAATAAAGTAATGGTAATATAGCTGTGAACAGCGATCTAGACTTCAGTTGCTTTAATTTGAAAACTCTTTTGGGATTAGTTGAGTGAGGGACCTGAATTCCCATGCATCCAACTTCAGCTGAGATCCCAGGTCTCTGTGATTCTTCATTCTCCAATTGTGGATTATTCTTTCATTTCATATGCTCTGATTTCATTTCTTAGTATTGAGGGATCAGTGAGCACCTCCCACAGGGGTGGAGGAGGAGTCACCTCAGTATTTAAAATAGCTCCTTCCTTTTTAATTGTTCTCAAGGTAAAGGCTTGTTGATGTGCAATAAAACTGTTTATCAAGTTTTTGTGTGTTTAAGCTGTTGTTTCTGTTATGTGCAATAAAACTGTTTATCAAGTTTTTGGTGTGCTTAAGCTGTTGTTTCTGTTATTTCCCTATTGCAAACTCCTTGTTCACCAACAAATTATTTGACTGCTTTATTATCTGAATTCCTTTCATTTCCAGGTGGATATGAAGATGAGAATAACGCCAGCCTCTCGGTGGTTCTGCCAATAATTATTTCAACCTCAGTTTTGTTGCTTGGAGCGTTGCTGGTTTCGCACCAAAGGTAACTTGGTCATTGTCATATTGAAGTCCCAGGTGGCCTTTAGAAGAAGACACTGCATCAGAATCACTTCAGCCTGTACCGCATATTCCTTACTTTGGCAGAGTGATTGGCAGCCAAGTTAACGAGCATAGAGTGCTTTGCAAATTCAGTGCACACAGAGTTCCATATTTAATTGTCATCACAAACTAAGGGCTGGAGTAAAAGCCAATTGAAAAAAAATCTGAGTTTCGTGGGAGGTTGTTTCATTGTCATAGTGTTTCTGGATAAATAACATGGCGTAGATTCCTTTTCTGACATCGCAAAAGCAAAGGGCAGCAGTGCAGAATCTGGGAGAATGGTACCAACTCCAGAATTGCCTTCATATTTCAGAATGAAGAAACTATTTTGGGAAGATGTTCCAAACCCCAAGAACTGCTCCTGGGCGCAAGGAGTTAATTTTCAGAAGGTGGGTATTTGCCTGGGGATGTTTCTTCCCCCACAGCCCCTGGGTCTGGCTGCTGTTTGCGCAGTACTGAACTCTGAGTTACTGAATTTGTACTGAATTACTGACCAAAGCACCGTGGAGCCTCTGAAATTACCAATACAGTGGTTCTTTTGGCAGTAAAAAGCTAAATATCTGGAAATGGTCCAGGACCAGACCCCAACATCTCTTTGGAATGTGGGGGGGGTGTTTAAATTTTTGGCAGTAAAAAGCTAAATATCTGGAAATGGGTCAGGACCAGACCCCAACACCTCTTTGGAATGTAGGGGGGATGTGTTTAAATTTCCAGGCAATTAATAAATCAGTTGCAGAATCCCATAGGTGTGCTGCTCATGCACCACAGTCAGTACCACGTGTGTCTCAAAGGCCAAAATCTCTGCCGGTTACTAAGCTGCCTCTCCCTTGGGCACGTGAATTGGGAGCTGCCATGTGATGGGCAGTGACAAGGCAGAGTCTTTGCTGGGCTTTACCCACTTTGTACCAGCAAAGTTTCTCATGGTCCCAGAGTTTGACATTGTATAATCTTTAAGACAATAATCTATAATAACCTCATAATCTTTCTGGCCTGTTATTTCTAAAAGAAATACCTGCCTTTGCATGTGATAGGGGAAACGGTTTTAAATTGGAAGAAAAAAGATTCAGATTAGATCTCAGGAAGAAATTTTTTACTCTGAGGGTGGTGAGACACTGGAACAGGTTGCCCAGGGAAGTTGTGGCTGCCCCATCCCTGGAGGGGTTCAAGGCCAGGCTGGATGGGGCCTTGAGCAACCTGCTCTAGTGGGAGGTGTCCCTGCCCAGGGCAGGGGGGTTGGAACTCGATGATCTTTGAGGTCCCTTCCAACCCAAACCATTCTATGATTCTATGTATTTAATCTTCTCTGGCAGTATTATCTGTATGCTTTCCATGGTGCTCAGATGCTGAGCTTGGAAGGAACATAAACCATCTCCACTCGGGATAAACCAGCTGCTGGTTGTAGGAGGGCAGGTGTATCAGGAGGAAACGTGGTTTTTTGGTTGTTAAAAAGATTCCTGAAAGATTTCCGTTTGAAACTGCTGCTGTGGGCAGTGTACACTGGATGAATATACTGAATATTAGTTCTCTTTGGCACCGCAGCATCTGTCATCCTCTTCAATTCAAACATAGAGAGCTTTCACCAGGCAATATAAATTGTGATTACTCTGGCTTGATGCGTGCAGCACAGCAGCAGCCTACGGCTCATTTCAGTAACTGGTTAATTTTATATGTGGTTTCTGACACCATTTTGAAGGGGAGCAGAGGTTCCAGTGGGCAGGTTGGTTCCAGTGTGGGAAGATGATGGAGTTGTGTAGGGCAAGCACAGAGGCAGTGGGAAGTGGGCAGGTTGGTTCCAGTGTGGGAAGATGGAGTTGTGTAGGGCAAGTACAGAAGCAGTGGGAGACCAGCTGTGCCAGGCGAGGGCACAGGCGTTAGTGCCAGCTGATCTAGCCCAAAGCACTCGCCTGAGATATGCAAGGTAGTTTACTCTTTTCTATAATTGTATCCTAGTCTCAGTATTTTGACATGTTCCTAGTTGTTTTGGCAGCTTTCCCGCCGTAAAATATGGTTTGCTAATATACACAAAATCTGTTTTGTATCTATTTGTTTTGTCTTGAATTCATTAGGAAATGCGTGTTTTTTCAAGTGAATTTTCCTTTGTAGCTGGGAGTGCCAGTTTTGCTGTCAGTTCTGTTGTGTATTTTATATCCATATATATTAGATAGTAGCAAAGCAGACATTTCTCCAAAATAAATGTGTGTTTCTCTTAGTGCAGTTCAAACATCCAGCTGCTGTTCAGATGGGAGTGCTCTAAAAACACTATGGAAAGGCTGAATTTGATGCTAAATAATCCAATCCTAACGAGGAAAGCTACTTTAGTTCACATGTACATTTTTAAGGCTATTGTTTATACAATCTAATTAAAAAGCCAAGGAAATCTGTACATGTACATTTTTAAGGCTATTGTTTATACACTCTAATTAAAACCCAAGGAAATCTGTGGATGTAAGACCTTTGTCTTGTAAAGCACTTACTTTTTTTTAATGATATGTGTGTGTTTATTAATGTTGAAATGAAGGGGCTCATTCAGCTGCTGGCAAACAGATCCCTACTTTCTTGTCTTGTCCCTCAGTTTTCATCTACACACAGACATCAAGAAATGTGGTTTTGAGGATTTCCAACTGTATACTCTTACTAAAACTATGGGGCTTTTGACTGTGATTCTTAAAATCAGTAGTTTCATACTGAAATAAAGCTATTAAGTAACTAAAAGATGAGCATTAAAACGTATCTTTTCTTCTAGCCTGAAACTTTTGAGCATCTTTTCATCAAGCACCGGGAAGCGCTGTCGTTTGAGCCTCTTCTTCTGGAACCAGAAATAGTGCTGGAAGACATCAGTGTGACTAAAGCCTTGAAAAAAGAAGACACGCAAGATTTTTTAGTGATTGATTCCATGTTTACAAATATTCAAGACTCTGAACGGGACTCTGCTTGCTCTAGCAGCCATTTCCACAGTAGCAGCTTCTCCGAGGGCTCCCGCGACGACCAAACCAGCAGAGAAATGCCAAGGCAGTCCGATATTAAATATGCTACACTTATCAGTCATTCCAGATCAAGTGGGCTTTACGAACACAAACTGAATCTACGAAGTTTATTTGACAGCTGCTTCCCAGCTGAGGATCCCTTAGTCACAGGCACCTTCTCCAGCAGCTCTTGGGAGGTGGGAAAAGGGGCATTCCTCCTGTTACCCGATCCACCTGGGAAGACTCTTTCCCTTTCCCTTATTTCCTCAGAGGGATTCTCAGAGCCTTCAGATCAGGATGACACTTTCCCAGACGGGGACAGTCCCGAGCGGAGCCTGTGTTACCTTGGGATAGCGTCGTTGGGAAAAAGAGAAAATCACGTTTTTTTAACAGAAAGCTCCGGGGTGATGTGTCAGTTGCACACAACAGATCTACTCCAAGACGTGGGGTTTCTTCAGCGTACGCCTCCTAATTTCGATGCCTTTATCCAAAGTAGCCTTAAGTATAAAGCCATTGTGCCCTATGTGCCGCAGTTTCAGATGAGCGCTGCCAAGGCGCAGGAGACCATAGAGAAGAACTCTTAAGTTGTCACACCATAATTTCATACTCTTAACGTTTGGGTTTTTAGATGTCAATACGTTCCCCCTCTTTTTCCCCTCTCCTAACTTCTTTCAGGAGCTATCTTGTTTTGAAGCTGGATAACGGGTTCTGTATTTGAGTGCCAGGATTTCAGTAGGAAGAAATTCTATTTATTGACCTAATTTTCAAATGTGAGGCCTTCTGTTAGAGATTTGATCACTGCCAAATTACCTATTGTTGGTGCCTGTTGGTGTGTGTCTGAGCGCTCCGTGAATAACTGCACTTGGAGTTGGACTTGGTGCCGTAGGTGTTGAGGCAAGAGGATGGGATGTGATCCAAGATGCTGCCTCTGCCAACATGTGATCATAGAATGGTTCAGGTTGGAAGGGATCTTGGAGATCATAGAGTTCCACTGGGCAGGGACAGCTCCCACCAGACCAGGTTGCTCCAAGCCCCCTCCAACCTGGCCTTGAACCCCTCCAGGGATGGGGCAGCCACAGCTTCTCTGGCCAACCTGGGCCAGGCTCTGTGCTGTGCCGTGGTCTGTCCCCAGGTCAGAGCTCTCCACAGGTTTGGAAGCCCTCTATAGCCACAGCTGGCTACCACGAACCTACACGGCCATCACATCACAGCACCTTCCAGTGGGGACAAGAGATTCTTCCTCCAGCTGGAGAGAGGGGGAGGAGTCAGGGCTTTTGCAAGGCCTTGCTGTGGAGCTTCCCAAACGCTCCTCAAGGGCTGGGAAGGATTCTATCAACACCCCACAAATGGGCACAGCTCCTTTTTCGTGCATTTGCTGAATTGTCCCTTCGCAGTCCCAATGTGGCTTTTCCCAGTTTAGTGTTGTCAGACGTGTGACCGTGTTTTCCACAGGGGCGAGCTCAGACCCACACACACCTTTCTTCTCTCTGCTCAGGAGTAAAGTATCTCTTCTCTTCAAACACATCCCCAAACTGGGTGTCAAAAGAGCTTTTTCTTATTTTAGGGTTTGCTTGGGGACCCCAAGGGCAAGACAGAAAGGAGTGACCTAATACGTGGATTGAAATACGTTTGTGTGGTGTTTTGGAGGGGGAAAAAGCTCAAATGTGTCACTTCAGTGAGAATTATTTGGGACACTGAGTGCTATGGACCAAATCGACCTGGATGCGGCGCAGCCCCTGGATGCTGGGAAAGGCTGCCAGGGTACAGTGCATCCCTGTCCACTTGGACTGCTGGTAAATGGATGCAGGGTACAAATACCAAATCTATTTGTTAGGCTTTTTTTCTCCAAAATCCTGATGTACTTATTGTATTTATCTGGGTTAAATTGAGCCTGTGAATACACACAGATGGTCTGGGTGGAAAAGCAGTCAGAAGGCTCCATTTCAGGTGGTGAAAGGGAGGCCCTGACCAATGACAATGGTGAATGTAGCTGCTGTTCTGGGATCTCTTTTATATAAAAAAAGTAAACAGAAAATATTCATCAGTAGCATCAAAGAGGTGTAAGAGAAATTGTGAGGTCAGTGACATGCTGAGCAGGGTATGAAATGCTCCCTGAAGGAGTGATGGTTCCAGTAGCTAAAGATTTATCTTGCTGCAAGAGGAGGAAGAGGATCTAAATTCTGGTGGCCTGGGGAAAATGATGTACTTGGACGTCAAACCTCCACATTTTTGTTGTTGGAAGTGAGATTCTAGTACAAATGGTACTGATGTTAAACAAACATCTCTTCCAAAGCCCTCTCCTAAGAGCCCCCACTAGAAAAAGCAGTAATTCCATCCAAGGATCCTGTATTTTTGTTATTTGGTGAGCACAGCCATCTCTAGGGGCTTGGAGAAGTTGGTTTGTCTTCACGAGCCCGGCTCTGCTCGGCTGAAACACCTCAGATGGGAGGAAAATTACATCTTACATCTCAACAGTATTTTCTGGAATAAGCAGGTAAAGAAAACCACATTTATTTGCAAGCCAAATCTATTTTTTTCTACTTCATAGTTAGTAAATATTTTTGTATATGTGCCTTTTCAAAGAACTATTTTGAGGAGCTAAGAAAGATTAATATATTGTGTATTCCAAAGCTAAATTTATGTAAAACTTAGGTAATTAGAAGGGCAAAACCCAGCAATGATACTAGATGGTAGGAGAGGTGTGGAAAAAATATGTTATAGATTAGAAATTCTATGGAGCAAAAGGGACCAAAGCAAGTATTTATCCACACTTTGAATTTAAGACAAGCTTTACCAAAAAAAAACCCACCGCTTTTTTTCTCAGACCAGCTGCTAACCTGGCTCTTGTTGGGTCTCTCTGTTTCTGATGTTGAATATGACAAATCTAATGTACTTGTTTCAAAAATACTATGTATGGTGGGAGGAATTAAAACTTGTTTTGTGTAAGTGTCCAGAATTCCTCGTCACTTGAAAATGGGATTGAAGGTTGCAGGGACTGAAGTCTTGAAAACGTTCCTGTGGAGCTCCAGGAGTGAAGCTGGGATTAATGCCCTGGTGGATGCTCAACTTAGAATTCATCTGAAAATAAGAAATTCACTGCTGCCAGTGTGTGAGCTCGACATGACACAACCTGCAGGTCCTGAGAGTGCCCCGGGGACAGACTCGGGTGCTGGATTCTGCCACTCCTGATGGTGTGTCCACCAGGTCCAATATCTCCTGAAGGCTGAAGATGCAGGGAGGCTGGTGTAGGTGGCTGTCCCACCAGCCCCCTCCAGCCAACGCAATGGGGATCCACTGAATTTGGGGTGGAAGAGCTGGATTCCTGCACGTCAGCCACTTCCTCATTATCCTGCAGAAGAAATGTGACCTGCTGAGATTGGAAGAGCTGGATTCCTGCACGTCAGCCACCTCCTCATTACCCTGGGCTGCAGAAGAAATGTGACCTGCTGAGATGTGTTTTTGTGACACCTGCCATAGTATAACTGTGTCACCATCTCTTGGGAGCACAGACTCCCCTCCCAGTGCCCCCACAGCAGGTCCAAGTGTAAAGGGCAGCACGGTTCTCTGTAGACTGGAATAATAAACGCGTGAGGTTTATTCCTCATGAGGTTTGGATTTAATTACAGTGTCCAGAAAAATGATTTAGTTGCGTTTGAAGATGATCTTTCTTCAGAAATGAAAATCTCACATTGATTTTACCGTACAAAGTCCTCATCCAGTAGCTCTGTAAGGACAGGAGGACCATTAACTGAGTGAAGCAGTGAAGGCTTTCCTGGGAACATGAAGAAATTCCAGAGTTACTCTTCTGTCCCCCGTTGTGCAGGACCCTGACGTGCTTTGGTGCTGGCAGCAGGAGAGCGGTGGCAGCCTGGACTCTCTGTGCTGCCCACAGCTGTGCTCCAGGCTTGAGATGGGGAAAAAAGAGGTGCAGAATGGGCCTCCCTCCGTGGAATTTGGTAGATATCCAGATATCACCACCTTTGGAGTCCAGCCTGACCTCCTGGGTGCCTCTGCCATCCCAGTTGTGGTCTTTTCCTAATGGTCACAGCGAGTGGTTCCCTCTAGAAACACAAATCGATAGGGTATTTATAAAAATCCCTGCTGTGAATAAGAAATACTGCAAATATTGGCTGATCTCTTCAGCACCAGCAAACAGAAGAGAAGATTTGAAGTACGGTTGCTGTAGAGCCGAGCCATTTAATCCCTTGATGTCGTTGTGCCTTTTCTGAAGCAGCTCCACACCACATCTCCGAGCCCTGGGTTTCTGACAGAGCAGGTAAACCCAGGTCCCCACCCACAGCGAAGGCTGGGATATGGCTGTTTGAATTTAGCCAACAAATACTCCCCAAAACTGGCTCTTGGGCTGGCACTGGAATGGACATTCAGTCCTGCTCCTCCCCTCTCCTCGCTCCTGTATGAAGCTGAAATGTGCATGTCCTGAATCCTCCATCTGCTGCCTCTGCTTCTGCCCTGCTCTGGGGTTACGGCGGTGGCTCCAGCCACTCCCACAGGGGAGCTGGAAATGAAGAGCTGGGCTCAGTTACCACACTCTTTTCTGTGTTTTATTCTGTGTCTCCTTATTCTGTGGTCTCCTCCTTTCACAGGGCAGCCGATACGTGAGATTTACACAGGAGCAACATCTCCTTTGCTTGCTGCTGGTGAGACAGCGATGGGCAGGAACGTGCTGAGCAAAGGCATTTCCTAAGGTAATTCTGGAGGGTTGTTCTCCCTGCGGAAATCATAGAATCATAGAATGGTTTGGGATGGAAGGGACCTCAAAGCCCCCCCAGTGCCACCCCCTGCCCTGGGCAGGGACACCTCCCACCAGCCCAGGTTGCTCCAAGCCCCCTCCAACCTGCCCTTGAACCCCTCCAGGGATGGGGCAGCCACAGCTTCTCAGGGCAACCTGGGCCAGGCTCTCACCACCCTCCCACCAAACAAGTTCTTCCCCACATCTCAGCTCCATCTCCCCTCTTTCAGGGTCCAACCCTTCCCCCTCCTCCTAGGGCTCCCCTCCCTCATCCAGAGTCCCTCCCCAGCTTTCCTGGAGCCCCCCTTCTTTAGGGACTGGAAGGGGCTGGAGGGTCTTCCCAGTGCTGGGTGCGCAGGAACACAGCTATTCTGCCCAGTGAAGGGCTGGAGGAAGAGGTTCAAACTCAGGAGTTGCGTACTCTGAGCTGTCTGAAGGAGGATGGAGCTGGGAGCCCACACTTGGTGCCTCTCCTGGGCTCTGGACCCACCTTGGCCAGAGACCCAGGAAATCCCTCCCAAGGAACAGGGAGAAAGTTGGGACCAGGTTCAGGCCATGACCTGAGGAAGAGAGCTGCTGGGGGCAAAACAGGTTTCAGCTGGTGGCCTTCATCATTGTCCCTGTTTGACATGGTCCCCTCCAGCCAGGGCCACTCCTGAGCACGGTGTGGGGAGGGAAATGCTGCAGAAACACATTTTGGAGCATCCCAAGGGTGTGGTGCCACCATCAGCCTGGGCTTGGCTGAGGGAGCAACCCTGCACGGTGTCCGTTTGCTTCTGATAGTGAAACTGTTGATGCTTCCCCATAAATACCCCTCTGCCTTTGCTACAAATAATCCAGTGCCAATTCCCAGTAAATATGCTCATTTTGCAAAGATTTTAACTTATTTTGGCCATGGCTCCACCCCACCAGGAAAGGCCTCTTCAGTTTAAACTAGAGAAGCAACTCGGGAGGAACCACGTGCAGCTTCTGACCTATGTAATTAGCCCTAATATTAAGCTCTTGCAAATTAATTTTCAAAAGCGTTCAGGACTATAGCTTGTTTTGCTAAGAAAATTAATCAA